TGTTGAGATTTGAGACACTCTTCGTAGATTTGTAGCTTTCACCTTTATCTTCCATAATATATTTACATCACTTTTCGAAGCACAAGAACTCCCCCACTCGCCCCATCTCACCGCTTTTCAGGATCGAGGAATGGGTGGGGTGGAATAGATAATACAATGAACCAGTAAATTCTTGCATCGGAACCGAAAAACTCAATATGATGTTACGGCTCGAAAAACTTAAATGAGCAATGAGTCCGTCTAAAGCTCAAACGCATAGTCATTAGTCAGATTTTAAGACGGGTCTTCTCAAATGAGTTGTTATTGTGTAATTAGCCGGTTTCAAGAGACATGATGTCAGGCAACTTAGCCACTTCCTTCCGTGTGCATCAGGTAAGAGAGATTGAAAAAGAAAAGTCTGGGTACAATGTTCTTTGACATTTTCAGAGCTTTTTTCTAAAGAGAGAAGCAAATATTGGACCACAACATAACATGGTTAGCACATGAAATAAATAAAGTAATGAGACATCCTAAACGGGAGTTGCCTACTTTTTAGCCACCTCGTTATCTCTTATGCTTTAGCTTATAAAATTCCTCTTTGTTATCATATTATTTCGACTTTTCTTTCGCATTATATTCATATATATATTTAGAGCCTTTTTGAGCTCAATTTTTTTTTTTTTTTTTTGCTAAAAATTGCATTTTGAAATAATAATTTGAGAAAGAATGTGTGATTAAAAAATAAGAAAAGATGTTGGATTTACGTATAATATTATTATATTGAAAAATGTGTGATTGAAAAAAATATATTTTGAAAATAATGGATACTTAACAAGGGCTTAGTACATACTTTTAAATAGACTAGATTTGACAAAGTCTAAGGCCCTGTTTGTTGTAAAAATTTCCATGGAAGTTGGAAATTTTTTTTCCATTTTCCACATTTATTCCTGCTTGATGGCAAAAATTTTCCTAGGAAAACCTTTTCCACCCCCACCGCTCGCGCCAATTTTCCTCCTTTTCAAGGAGTTGGTTTTCTTGTTGTTTTGGTGGCTTTATGTTTTCCAATTTATTTATTTATTTATTTATTTATTTTTGCAATTGGAAAAAATTCTATCAACAATGGTAAAAAAAAAATTTCCATTTAATGGACAATTTCCATAAAAACAAGTCAAATGGATACCAAACTTTCAACATTTTTTAGGTGAAAAATTATACTAATCAAACACAATTAATTACAATTATCAGTAAAACAATTTCAAGGCAATTCAATTCCTTAAAATTTTTTTTTTTTTCACCCACTTTCCACCATTACAATCAAACGGACCCACAATGTTATATGGATAGAATTGCCTAACCAATCTTTTAAGATATAAAAATTCGGTATTAACTAACTTTGATCTGGCATTTGGAAGCCAATGCGTGTGTACCATTATCGGGGTGGAAGCTTCAAGGAAAATGCCTCGCGTAAAGGGAATTCTTCACAAGATTCCCACAGGATATTGTCGTGGCAGTACCTCATTCGTCTATCTTTTTTTTTTTTTCCGATCTTCTAATGCATTTTCGTCATGTGTTCTCTATGAACAAATATGTCAAACTTATCCATACGTGTACCATGATTCAAGCTTTAATGGTTTCTAAAGATGATGTTAGGGTCCACGTTAGCCAACATCCCATGTGAGAATTTGAGCCCCTTTTTAAAATAGAAATGCGAAAATCTAAGTAATTACTAAAAGGTAAGCACATTTATTAAGTCCCTAACGTTGTTGTTCTTGAGGAAGCTAAGCACTTTTTGCTTGGAGAACTTCACGAGTCAACACGTGGTCTACTCTAATTTGACTTGAAAGCCGTTAATGATATTTTCTTAAGGTAATATGTAGTTTTATTGCCTTACATTGCTCTTTTATATGAGCTTATAACTTTAATTAAACAAGCTCTAAGTCGTTATGTTGTTATCTTTGTTTGTCAAAAAAGACACCTACAATAAAGGTGACATCAAAGCTGCTTTACAGAGAGTTCTTACAATTTACGATTTCGTATCGAATATATTTTAGCAGTTAACTCTGTCGTCGTAGAATAGAGAGAGAATTGTGAAAGTACATTATGATATGGTAAGTGAAATGTCACATTAAATATTTAGATTTTTATGAATTTGTAGGACAAATTTTTACGTGTGAATATTGAGTTTGGCGTTTAATCTTCTTTGAACGAGCAATACCTCGTATAGGCTTTGGACAAGCTAGTAAAGGTGTCCAAAAGTTCCGAACCGAATCGAGCGGTTCTTCATAAATTAAATACCTGAACGAGTACCCGAATCAAGAACCGATGGGTTTGGGTCGGATCTCGGGTCTAGACTAAGAATCGAAAAACCAAATAAGAATCGAAACTAAATAATTTTTTTATTTTTTATATTTAATTAATTAAATTATTTTATTTTTTCTATACAAATTAGCAAATTAATTAAATAAATCAGATTATTTCATAATTTTAATTTTAAAGCCCAAATCATTTTTAAAACCCATTAGCCCATTTTAATTTGAAGCAAATGAATATACTTTATGTAGTTTTGCTGNACAAATAAGAATCGAAACTAAATAATTTTTTTATTTTTTATATTGAATTAATTAAATATTTTATTTTTTTAATACAAATTAGCAAATTAATTAAATAAATTAGATTATTTCATAATTTTAATTTTAAAGCCCAAATCTTTTTTAAAACCCATTAGCCCATTTTAATTTGAAACAAATGAATATACTTTATATGGTTTTGCTGTAATATTAATATCTACTTTTTGGTATTTGTATGCATTGAATTAATCTTATTGGACGGTTAGTTATTTATATGTTTTTGAATTTGGATACGTTAATTTGTAAAAGTTACGAATGAAATGTCATTAGTTGTATTTATGTAGTGTTGCTGTAAATATTAAAAAAATTGATTATGGTACTGAACCGAACGGAATCGAATCGACCCGAACAAAACCCGAACGGTTCCATAATTATATTTGGACCCGATGGGTTCATTTATTAAATACCCGAAAGTTTTGGATCAATTCAGGTCTCTTCAAAACCGAACCGAACCGAACCGACCTACGGACAGCCCTACAAGCTAAGTCTCATCTAGGTTTCCTTGGACGAGAATAATTCAGTAGCTCTTTACGTAACATGTTCGTTTGTAAAAAGTTGGGGATGAAAAGTATAAATTTTATTATTTTTATCCTAGATATTACATCCATCGATTAAATGAAAATTTATTAAAGAAAAATCCGTTACTAAAGATCATCTTCTGTTTTAATAATCATTAAGATAAATATATGATAATGAAATATTGGTAACCTATTATTCCTAACATCTCTCTCCCCCTTCTCTCACGTAAAAATTGAACTGTCCAATTTTATTATTTCACATATATCATCATGATGATAAATAACATTATTCGAAAATTATCGACCCCTCTTTCTCTCTCATAAATAACAAGCGTTTAGGGATGACAAAAAAATCCGTTCAATCCAATACCCACGAGAGCCCACCTCGAATGAGGCACGAATTATCTACCTAACCGAGTAAACGGTGTGGGGATGATACAATGGTCATTGCCCCGAAGTGAGTATGAGGTGCGTACGAGAAATATAGTTACCGCTCCATTACTCGCCTTTTTTGAAGGTTAATTTTAAATTTAAGTTTTTTATCTAACAAAAATAAAAGATTTATCACCATTTCTAAAGAAAACACAAGTTATTCTTAACAAATTGAAAAA